CTGGACAAAATGAGAAAAGCTCTATGTATTTTCGTTCTGAACAGGATGAGAAAACAAGTGTAAACAGGTGTGCAAAAAAGCAGGAAGTAGTGAAAAACACAATTGCTAAGATTACAAAAGCCAATTGTATTTTATGATGACCTGGAGCAACAGCTGAAAACCTTTTCTTTTGTCATTGTATCTACAGGCTTCAGTATTCATTTTTCTCTTATAAATTTAATTTTTAAAATAAGTATGAAAGGTTTTCTCCTTTTTCATGGACACTTTGAAATAGCTTGTGCAGCATATGTGGCCTAATAGAAGTGATCCTGGTTGAAATGTAAAACCAAAACTAAAATCAAAACCTGTTTATGAAGGTAACATAGTTCTGAAGGAACTGTGAGCCATAAAGTTGAAAGCTACTCTGTTTATGGAATGTATCTTCCCATTGAAAGGAAGTTCTAGATCGAAGGAAAATCTTTGAAACATCTCAAATTTAAAGACCCTGAGTTCATCCCAGAAGCTTTGCAACACCAGTCTTTTCCGAACTTTTGATCTGCAATCAGGTAAATCTCTTGAGGTAGAAATTTCATTGAAACCAAAAAAGGCAAGCAAAGTGAAATGCAGGTAGCTGCTAATCAAGCGCACATGTAATTGAAGCTCACTGAGCTTCACTCCTGAAATTACCAGGGATGCACAGCTGTGGGCATAACCACATATAATGCTTTTGTTATGTGAACACATACCATGGAGTGCGATTGCCTTGGAAAATCATACAAGTAAAACTCAGGCAAGGGTCATATGAGAATGGATGTTAAGCAGTTTCTCCCCATTGGCCTTACAAACATATATCTTTGCTGGTTTCATCCTTTTGTCATTTAACTTCCATGATTCCAAAATTCCTTCATTAGATCAATATAATGATAATAAAATGTATTCACATGAACTGAAACTTTGAAAGGACATGAACAGTTGATAGAAAACCGGCACATAACCAAGGGCACAAACAAAAGAAATAGCCTGGAACTATCAGAATAACGTCCATTGCGCTAATTGCCCAAATGACCTGTTTAACATATCCACATCAACCAAAATAGTATTTTTAGTTTTCATCCAACCAAGGTCAATTAGGAAAGAATAAGCTCATATTAGGAAATATGATAAAAGATAATCCAGAGGAGGACAAACTATTACCTTAACCTCTTACTTTCATTTAAGAAAAACCCTTCAAATTTTTGATCAGATAATGTCAGGATATAGGAAGAAAGCCCAAAACTCAGATTACTTTATGCCAGGAAGTTGAATATTATTCATAGCCACTAGAATTAATCATGGAGTAAGAGAGGAAAAGTGGGATCAGTGTTAGAAGACTGCAAATGGACAAATATCCAAATCTTCTAAAAAGAAAAATGTGGGAACTTAAGTGCATTAATATCAATTAGGTAGATTTCAGAAAAGTGTATGGTGATCATTAGTAATAAACATATATAATCTAAGTCTAAGATAGAATAGAAGAATCTCAAAGTTGGTAGTTTAAGTTAAAACAACTATAGTTTCTCTTTAGGAAATCATTAGTAGGCTGATATTTCAGGAAAAAATGTAGAAAAATTCTTCAAATATTTGACAAAGTCTTTCATAAACTCTCTGAAGAAACTGTAATTCAATACTATCATATGATATGGGCATAATAATAACAGGAAGTGATCATAAAAAAGTGGCACAAAGACTGAAAATGATATTTAGTGACTCTAATGTCTATAAACTATAGTACAAAGTATAGCCAATGAAGAAAGTGATCTTGAGATTGAAAATAAAGTGAATATAACAGCATAGGTAAAATTGAGGCTGGGTACTATAACAGAAATAATCCAAGCAGAAAAGGTACGAAACCCCAAAGATTCAGACATGTTAGAAAGACAGACAGAGAAGCAGTATGTGAAACTGAATTATGTCTGGGCAAATTCTGAGTGAGAAGAAGAGAACAGGGCAACAAAACCACTGCGACAGCCAAGGAAGTATTCCAGGAGCTCCTTCATCAGAGAGGGAAAGGGTGGAGTGGGGATCACTGCTGCAGCCTCCCAGACTGCTATAGGGTTCAGGGGACCTCCTCTCTTGGGACAGGTATGAACAGTTTTAATCAGAAATAGAGCATTCTAAAATTTATTTTTCACCTTTCAGAAGAATAGGAATGACAGAGGGAACTGTCACCCCAAATTCCATTTTTAATAACATGGAAAAATCAGGTAGCTTAATTCAAATGGCAGGATGATCTTGGGGAAAAATGTAGTTACTCCAAAGTTCAGGAGACCTATTCTGTGTCAAACCCTTCTGGGGATTTTATTTTTTAATTATCATGAATGTAGTGTAAATTTTATTTCTGCATGGCCTCATTCTCTGTCATATTAAATTATTTTTAGAATTTAATATTTAAGTATTCTAGGCATTTATAATAAATAGTTAAACATTTCAACCAAAACACATACTTTTGCTTTTTACAAATGTGTACATATGTCAACATTCATAAGAGGATAAAACATTCTTAAAAATTCTAAAGAAAATAATATTTTTTGTTGTGGTTTGTTTTGGGAGAAATAGTATAAGCTCAGTTGTACTTGCTACATAGTAGTAGCTGCTTTATAACCAATAAGCTCCAAAATGTCAGTGCCTTACAAAATAGAAGCACATTTCTCAGTCATATAAATTTGCCATTAGTAATTGGTGGTAGAGTAGGTTGTGGACTGGGAAAGAAGCTCTTCTCTATGGTGTCACTCAAAGCCCCAGGCAAATGGAGGCTCTTTAATCTACATTTTTGTGGTTTCTGAGATTACTCTGAGTGTCAAAAAAGAAGGCATGAAGGGTTATATGGAGTTTTATCTATACCAGTCCTGGAAGTGATATATATATTTGTGCCCAAATTCTATTGGCACAGTTGTATGACATATTCCAAAGGCCACATTGGTACAAGGGGAACTTGGATTGTAAACACTGAGCAATTAGTTCCTAGAAACAGCTCTAAAATCATAGAGGAGAACATAAACTTTTGATGGAAAACCGATTATCTGTGCAACACTTATAGGGAGTAATTTTGATATAGACCACTTCAAAATCTTTTAGTGTAAAGATAATGCTTCCCTTTGCTGACACATATCACAATTTATTCTCTGAACAGTGGAGATCTATGAGATACACTAAATGTTATTATTTTTGGTATGGGAAATTATTTTTAATGCTCTCAGGGCTACTGTTATCAAATACTATCTCATTGAATTGTAGAATTTTAGAACTAGAAGAAATTGTGGAAAATATCTAGTCCAACACCATTTTCTAACAGAATCACATGTTGTTTATAATGCAGTTAGGTTATAAATTTGTTGTTGAATGCAAAAATATACAAAACTAGTCTTTTTTTTTTGTGCCTAAATGAAATGCACATAAAAATATAGGCACTTAATGAGTCATGTTAACTGTTTCAAGCTTCTAAGACATATCCTCACTCTGACATTGTGAAGTGTGCAAAGGGACAATGATAATTTTGCAGCTTGTCCCATGTGCCTGTGTTACTTGATTTATGTGCCATGCCTGCCTTCTATGATGCTGTCTGAATCCATAAATCTGAGTAAAAGAACAGGGACCCATAACTCAAAGAGGATGAGATGGACTAACCCCTGAGGCTGAGAATGTACTGAGGAGTTGGAGCTCTGTTCCCTCATGAATACCCATGGGTGTCAAAGTTGCTAAAGGTTAGGCATTCATCACCAAGGGTCCCAGTCAGGATACATGGCAAGGTTCCAAAAATGGAATTTTTTGTCTTCAAACTTTTGCATAGTACATGTAACAATTGTTGGTTGTTTTTGCTTTTTTATAATAAAGTAAAATTGATGCAGTCTAGTGTTCTACTGATACATACCTCCATATCATGCATACCTATTTATCAGTGCCTACTATGTGTAGCATCTCATCCTATACAGGGATCACCGAGAGAGAAAAATTTCTAAGGCACAGAGTATAATTGCTCAAATTTATCACCTAGGAAGGGATATGACAGAGCCCATGAAAAATCATGATGGTATATGGGCAATATACAAAAGGGATGTTAGGCATATAAAACAGTAGTATGAAAATTCAGAAGAGGGCGAGTTCACTGAGGATGAGACACTGAAGGACCCTGCAATAAGTGAGACAAGGAGTATGTCAATGCTGCTGCTAAGCTGTTTTATATTCATAAACAGCTTTTGGAGTCATCTAAATCTTACTGCTTTTCCAGTCTTCGGTCTGCCCCTACTTTGTCCTTATTATATTTAGGTCTGTATCCCAGTGTTTAGTGCAACTTACACTAACATTTTGAGATATATGCCAGACATTTACTTTTATTTGGTCTCAGATGGTAGCCCTCTGTCCAGGCTCAAACAAGTGTCCTGGCTTTCAGGATCTGAAGGTTAAGCTTATCCTCAGTTGATTCATTCAACAATTTAAACATCAAGTACTTATTAAGCCTTTATTCTGTGTCAGGCACAATTCTGATGATAGAAACACAGTATTAAGGACCACAGATAGCAAAATCAGGATGGTGGGGTGGTCTACGGTGCTGCGTTCAGAAGGACACAGCCTGGTCCTGACCACTTTGAGGCTTACGAGGTAGACAGGTATTTCCATCAGCGATGGCATGAAGTCACAGTGAGCACAGTGATGAAGAGAGCACAGTTCTTCTTCAAACAAGTAGTAAAAGACTCTGTCTGGCCCAGTCTCCTAGGAAACTACATTAAAGTTAATACATGGATGATATAAAGGAAGTGGCTAACTGAAGATGAAGGGGAAGTGTGTTACAGGCAGAGAAAACAAGAGAAGCTCATGTGGTTTTGCCAGTTCTGGGAAGCTCCACGAAGAAGCTACCTCCTGCCTCTGAATGAGGAGACCATACAGTCCAGCAGTTCTCAAAGTGTAGTCAAGGAGTCAGCAAGGTGTAAATGTTTTTCATAATAATACTAAGATCTTATTTGCATTTTTCATTCTCATTTTTTCAGAGTTTTCCAGAAGCTACATAATATGTGCTATCACAACAGATTGAATCTTGAAGCAAACACAAGAATCCAGCTGTCTTCTATTAGGCCAGACATTAAAGAGACTTCCAAAAACGTGAAACAATGTCACCTTCTCACTGATTGGTTTTGGGAAATGGAATTTGTATAGAAGTGTGTTATTTATATAAACATGTAATGCATTTATTTTTATTTCTAAATGAATTAATATGTGTTTTTTAAATGTCTCATTTTTAATTTGTAACATGTAAATGTTGAGATATAATCCACATAAACAGAAGCTATTTGGGGTTCTAATGAATTTTTAACAGAGTAAAGCAGTCTTGAAAACAAAAAGCTTGAGGAGTGCTAATGGATTTCATTATTGTCCAAAATGGGACACTTTGAAAAGGAAAGCGAATACTATTAATAATTACCTCAGACAACAAAGTGACAGTACCTCCCAGCTTGCCAAGTACGATCCCACTTTATGTTTTCCTAGCATATATTATTAACAGCTTTCAGTGTCACCGTCAAAATGCCCTGGTTTGGAGGATCAGCTGTACGGTCACCCTACTTATAGGACTAGTTAATGGGGAGCTTGTCCCATACCCTTCTAGGTTTGCTATCAGAACTCCAGAATATGAGCTTCTGTGGAAAAATGGATATGAGGGGTCTCAGGCCAACACATATGCCTGACCATCAAAAATAGACTGGTTGAAAGAAGGAAGGGAAAAACTTCACTTTTATTTTGTTTTCTTGTTTTGTTTTTGTCTCAGAGTATGGCATTAGGTGTTTGTACACCTCGAGTAATAGAAGAGCACTTATTAATCTGTGTTTTACAAGAACAAATTTTTAGAGTATACTGTATCAACTCAAGTAGTTACTAGGATATCTGAAGAAAAAGTCTTTCCTTTTAATTAATTTCAGGCTTTGAGAGAATGTGGCGAGGAATGAATAATTTCTGTGCTGCATTTTATAGAAGGTCACTCTGAAGTACAGATGCTTCTTATGAAAACTGGAGACATTTGTATACTCAAATAGAAATAAGGTTATTGTCTAAATAGAATACTTCATGTATTAAAAAATAAGTAAGTAAATAAATACTTCCTACAGCACCAGAAGGAAAAGGTATTGTGTTGAATGTTTTCTCCCTTTCCCAAAGGTTGAGATAGCTAACATTTTCAGAACAGTGATGCCCAAATCTGTAATGAAAGACATCATTCAATCGCAGCTGAGGATTTTGAGATCAGCTATATCCTTTTGGAATATCTGCCAACAATAACGTGGATATGTTATGGATTCACTTGCAGTATATTTTAAGAAACAAGAGAAACATTACAAACAGAATGGAGAAAAAAATAAAACAGCCAGGTAAAGGGAGAAAAAGAATGAAAGAGCAAGAGAGAAAGCAGTGACCTTATGTGAACAAACACCTTTGTTCTTGGGCACCTCGAGGGCTTCTAGCCAAGGGCCGGAGTGTTATTCTAGACAATTTTATTGACATAAAATGAGGAGTCTAAATTATGATGAAATCAGAACCAGAAGCCAAGCCCAAGGGAAGCCATTAACAATTTAACATGAGAGACTGGATTCTGCTCGTCAAAGAGAATATTAGAGGACTATTTGATATAAAATGCAACTATCACAACACTGAGGGTTGGGCACCTCAGCTGGGTTTTCCTTGAACTCATTGCCTTACAAAGTTAAACATAGACCTTGGTGTTTCACAAGGACAGTGTATTTTATGCCAAAGCAAGAAATCACATCAACTGAATAGGAGGAAGTTTAGATTGGATACCTGTCTTATCAAATAGTTGTGTTGCAAAAGAGAAGACCATGGGAAGCAGCAAGAAATGAAATTGGACTTGAGTAAACACACGGAGAATTCTTAAAAAAAATTATTGAGATATAATTGACGTTCAGCATTCTATTAGAAGAGAATTCTAAATCTGGGACACATTGAGTCACATTCTAGCTGGGCGGCTTCCTGTCTATTTGAACTTGGTGCATTTTTATCCTCTAGAATACTAAAGTGCTTCATCTTAAAAATGAGAATAATAATATCTACCTCATAAGAATGGTTTCCATTAGTGAACAAGAAAATGTAAGGCGCCTAGCTCAGCCCCTGGCAGGGACTCATCTTTCCTTCCTTTTTACCCAGTATGAATATTGTGGTCTCTCCCTCTTTTTCTTTGTTACTCCTCTGTCTTCCTTTTTTTTCTTTTCTGTTATTTTAAGGTAACTTTTATTGATATAAAGTTTTAGATATACAGAAAAGTTGCAGATGATACAGAAAGTTCCTGTGTAGCCTCCACCCTGTTTCCCATCTTTTCTTTTTCAAATGAGCTTTTCTCCAGTTGCTTAAATAGAATGCGTGCCCCTAGATCTCTTGGGAAGGAATAAATTACATTCTAGTATGATACCGAATCACTCACTTCAATCATACCTTCTTCATTCCTTCAATATACAATTGATGAAAGTTAAATGATTACCCTAGAGCAGAATATCATTAAATTATCTAGGGATGGTTATGATTGTTGATTTCTTTTTGGCTGCAGAACAATTTGGAATAATCTGGTCTCTAACTAGGGGAAGCAAGTTAGGTGGAGGCAAAAAGTCGATGAAACCCCCATGCCAATCTAATGGCACAGTTATTGTATGTATATTTGTATATGTACATTGTATGTTCATAGTTACCTAAGCACCCTAACTCCTAACACTAAATCTGGTGATTCCAGTGATTTGGAAATCATCTCAAAGATGTGATGACTAGGTTATAGTGTTTAAAAGGCACAAGATAGAAAGTTTAGTTAAAATTTATATCCCTGGGGGATTATGTAGTGTCCTGATGTTTCCCATGGCCCTGGGTAATAGAATGAGGAAGTGAGCTGCTTTAGTTCATCGCCCATCTCATCTCATCTCCTCTCTGGGCCTCTTTTTCTCTGCTTGCAAACATTAGTTCTATAATCCCTCTGTGGTTCTCATGGAGGTTTCTTGCCTAAGTGTACCTTCCCCTGAGAATGTCCAATGTTCTAAAATAGCCACACTAGCCTTCCTAATGTTTTCCAATAACAAACACTATTCCTTTGATAGTCTGTTTAAACTTTATGTCAGGAAGACAAAGAGTTCAGATGCAGGAATTCACATGGACCCTTAAAGATAAGCAACCTAATGTCTTTTTCCTCCCAGAGGCAGTTACATTTTGAGAGAAGAAGCCTTGCAGTAGAAAATATTGCCATTCCCAAGATGTTGGGAGTTTAGGCACTATGGCTGGGAGAAGGGGAAAATGTCTGAAAGAACAACCTTTCTTGGTATTCACCAGTTCAGTGTTGCTGAAGGATCCATTTTCTCCTCATACTTTGAAATCTCTTCAACTTACTAAATTCAAGATAGCTTACATCTTAATACTTATTAACAAAGAAAGCATGCTGTGAGGGGGTGCAGGAGAGTTAGGAGGTGTCTAGAAGGAGGACTGAGTACCAGTCAGACTTTTGGGTCATTTGGGGAAGGTGCTATTATCAGACCATCTTTATCCCAACATAAAGATTAAAACTGTGGCTTGATGTCATGAATTCAATGCCTTTAAAACTTCCTAGATCAAAACCAATGGAATACAAAAAGCTCACCTTAACAGGGTTTTGGAGAAGAATCTTGTTTAGTCCATTGCAAGATTTTCCTCAGGCTGTAGACCTACTTGCAACATTTTTGGAAAAAAATAATGAAATGCAGTGCTAAAGGCTGAAAAATGAAGAATGATTTTAAAGTGCAAAAGGATTGGGGAAAAAAGATAAAAAATGGTGACAGAAGTTTATTTCATTCCTATCATGAGATCCGGCAATGGTTATATTGCTTCTTGCCTTCAGTTACCAAGGCCGCAAAACATTATTTTCAGAGGCTCGTTGCCCTGTATGTGTGTCAAGATTTGATGGGAAGAGAAAGGGGTTGTGAGGGAAAGATTGCCTGGCTGTTCCTCCTAATAGGTTTTCTTTCTCTTTTTCTTCTGGACAAGACACCTAGAAAAAGGAAATGCTCATAAAATAATAACAAAAACAGCAAACACTAATCATCATCCAATCTGAGTTATAATGCTATGCTCAGATCAGATCCTCCATCCTTTACCTTCCCTTTCTCCATCTTCATCGACATGAAGAACATGTACTAAATAATTCTCTGAAAGTACTGCTGGCTTGCCCACTAGTGAAACTTTTATTAAAATTTTAATAGACACGCAAAAATAAGCAATCTTACTGACAGGGCAAATTCACCCAATGAGCTCTACAGTTCAGAGACAATACAATTTGAATTATATAATGAAATTGCATACAATAGAGTAAAATAAATGAGAAAAAATATATTCTGAGATATTAACCAAGGAAGCTCGTGAATCAAGCTTAGGTTTACTTGGAGGCAAGATGAATGCACTTGCACTTGGACAGTACAGTTTTCCATTTCTTCCTCTGATATCACTCTAACTGGGTTTTCAAATGCACTGACAGAAGGCAGTTTTTACTGGAGAGGAATTTAGAATGAAAATTCCTTCTTCTAACTACTCAATGCTAGCAAGGATATTCAATATTTTTAAAGATTTTGTGCACAGTCTATTACATTAGCTTAGAGTTCATTATTCTAATATTGGTTCATTATTCTAACCAAGTCAGTGTTCAGTAGGAATTGTGCTTTTCTAGAAGCTATGCATTTGCACCTATTAAACTGCACATGCAGCAGATGTTTCAGGCTTTTATTTGACTCTCACATTCAGTACTGCAGACAAAATGCCATTAGACAGGGTGAGGTAAGAGGAAAGGCAGAAAGAGAAGCCATGAAACCTAGTGCAGCCTCCAGCTTCCACTCTGAGGGACAGTGTTACAGCCAAATAATACTATCAAGACTGTGAACTTCCTACATGACCTGAGTTTTATGCTATACAAGGCAAAGGAGTGGAAACTCCACATGGCTGAAGGTAGAAATTCCTCACTGACTGTATACTGACTCCATCATTCATTTCCCACACCCTCATCTCTAGGCTGAGATGTGCAAGAGTGCTGTGTCTGAGCCGAATACTATTTCAAAGGCCCTTTTGGCTTTACTTCTTTAAGTAAGATTAGATTACTCTTAAATACATCATTTCTCATTCAGATTGTTTCCATCTCTTTTCAATGCCTCCAGTGAAAAGGTTTCTTATCTATTTTGACAGAAAGGTTAAACCAAATTGACTCTGCCAGAGAAAAACCGACACAGAAGCTTGAAGGGTTAAACAAGCTTCAGAAATTCTGAGATTCTTTTTCTCCCTAGAAACTGCATGGTTGAATGATTCATAAGCTGTTAGGGTTACCATGGTAATTATTATTCTTAAATGGAAAGGTTTATTTGTGAAGCAAAAAGACCAACAAACTTGTTGCCCAAATCAGACTTGTATCTCTAAATCAGAACTACCCGTAGCTATCTTTAAGGAGCACTGAACTTCAGGAAGAATGGAATAATGCAGAATAATCTTTATCAGGGTATGTAATGGGCTTGCAGAAGACAAAGATTGAATGGGACTATATTAGATATGTTTACTGGAAGCCACATTTATTAGATGGGCTTTACAGTTTTGTGTTTTGAAGTTAGGTTGAGGTTATAAACAATCCCAGAATCAATTGTATTTTAGGGACATCAGTTTGTTAGAGCAGCTGACAGGTCATTTTATGTATGGCTGATCATAATGATTTTGAGGTCCATTCATTTTAATGTGAAAATGACTTCTAGAACTTGAATTAACTATTTTTTAATTTTTTTTTTAATTCTAAGGTCATGACCTAATAAGCCTGTTTCTCCCCATGCTGGGAGAAGGAGACCTGGCTTGACATAGCAGCAGTGTTCATAGCAGATGTTTGCACCACAGAGTGCTTTTGCAAAGTATGGGAGTATGAGCGGCAAGGTAGATACCCTTCTTTGATGCATGATGGCCTAGCTTTATTTAAGATCAGTGGTATCTGAGAAAAATTTGGGACAAATTCTCTACATCAAGAATCAACTCTGTGCTCTCCAATACTTTAAAATCAAACATAAAGATTTAAAAGCAACCTGGGAATTCCTGCTAGATGTGTATCACTTCCTTTGTACATA